TACAAAGAGCTGACCAGAGTGGGTTACCAAACATATTTGGCTAGGGTCAAGGTGGGGGCCATGTCCAAAGTACACGGGATGTTCAAGGCCAATCTGAGCGTGGGAATCCTTATCAGAGTGTTCAAGGCTAATTTGATATACACAGGCACAAAAGCATGGGCACAGCAAGCTATACACTGTGCAGGTGTGCCCTTCTATAGGGTGTCCCAAAATTTATGCAAGAAGTAATTTTGATAGAAAACACAGGTTTATAATTAAAAATTGTAAATTTTTTATTGATTCATAAAGTATACAGTATAGGGTTATGTATGGAATAGCACATCGGGTAAACGGCCTCCATGGCTTTGCTGGCACATATGCAAAGCCGTGGTCTTCATTGGTCTTCATTGTCCCTGCTCCTGGGCCTAACTGGTACTTGGTAATGCTTATCAAATTGAAGGCATTGAAATCAAAGGGCAACAGATATTAGAATCTGATTCAATAAACCAAGTAAAATTAGGCTTTTATTTTTTTTTGTTGTTGTTGTTAATGCTCACACAAAATTAAAATCTTCGCGAATTTTGGGAAACCCTATATAATGTCACTATTTTGCAAGAATCCCGTTTTGTCTAAGTTGATGTGAAGTACGTTTCTGACCAGCCAATACACAGCTACTCGTTTGGATTACTGTGTTTGCAATGCTTGCTATGTTAGCAGTAGCTATTTAGTATGGCTCCTATGTTGGGGGCTGCTTTGTAGGGAAGATACAGTGTTAACCAGCCAGCATGCAGCTGTCTATTTTACAGACTACTTGTAGAACTTTACTTTGAAGAACTGTTTTGTCTAATGGCTCCTCGATAACAATGGCTACTTGGATTTCAATAAAGACTCTCTTATATACATATGACTTCTCATATCTTCTCCATCTAATATGTGGCATCCATAAAGGTCCAGTTCCTGGCAGAAAAGGACCTGTACTCTCACAGTAAAAAAAATATAAAAAAAAGTGTCAGTGTTTCCTCTATCAACCACTGCACTTGTACTAATGTTGACCTTAGTGGCCTGCTCTGTGGAAAATAATGTAAATTTTTGTATATAGGAATCACAGAAGTCCATGCAACATCTGTGAACTCCCCACAGTCTACTCAATCAGCGGACCCATAATATTTATCAGCATCCATCCCGAAAGAAATCCCTTTGGCAACAACCTATCCCAGGAATAAAATAAAAATCAACATGTGCCAAAGAATATTTGCCACCAAAGACTCTAAAATCATCACTTGTCATTAAAAAAAAAAAATATTTGCTGCCAAAGCCATTGTGGACCCATAGACTTTTTGTTATTCTAACCTTAGCTCATGGAGCTTCAAGGAGACTAGGCTACTGAAACAAACCTGAAACAACACTCCACCCAGTCAAAACCCTTGATTCCATATGCTGATGAACGTATTTCTTGAGCTAGAATTGGTCCTAGAGTGGAAAGGAGTAACTGCTTCATCAAATGTGTAGACATCAACATGGGACTAAAAAGAAAGACACCATCAAGACAACATAATAATTTTCTACTAATCGATACCAAATAAATGAAGATCTACATACAGCCTGATAAAAAATCCAAAATATTTACATTTAAAAATGTTTGCGAGCTCCAAGAGAACACAAATAGAAACAACATAATGAAGACATCAACAGAGAACAAAAGAATATCAGATAGACAGAAATCATAAAAAAGAATGAAAGAGAAGTGTTGGAGTTGCCCGATTACAATGAATAAAATGAAATAATGCCATAAAGAGTATCAAAAGCAGACATAAAGTATATGTGATGTCCACAACAGGTCACTTGACATCATCCAGATGGAGAAAAAAAAATAAATTTAAAGAATACAGCAAGTAAAATTAAGTAACACCATAAAGTTTTCCTATATTTGCATTATGGGAATCCCAGGAAACACTAAGTGTGCTGGTCATGGAACGAAACAGAAAGAAAGACAAAAGGGAGAAAGGAAGAAGAAGGGTAGAACATTGATTTTTCAGAAATAAACTGAAACCAACTTCCATAATCTGAAAAAAACAGATGTGAACAATCAAATGCATGCATTCTCAGAGGTTTCTGTACAGATTCAAGACACCAACCATACTTCATCAAGATATGTTATAATAGAACAGTAAAAAAATCAAAAGGCACAGAGAATTGTGAAAACACAAAGAAAATAGGAACACCTCTCACACAGGGGAACAACAGAGGAAGGGTATCAGTAGATTCCTGTGAAGAAACCTTGCAAACTAGAAAATAAAATGATGTATTGAAAACACTCAATGAAAACCATCAACACTTTATTCAGAAAACCTGATCTTCAGAAATAAGTATTTTCCAAGAAACACAAAAGCTAGGGAAGTTCATCGCCACTCAACCTGACTTTTTAGACATGCTGACAAAAGTTCAAGATAAAAAAACAAAGTAGAATCATGAATGCATAGGAAACTATAAATATCACTGATAAAGGTTGAGAGCAGAATCAAATTCACAATACTGTAACACTGCATTTGTGGAATGAACAATATGTAACTCTGTTATAAAAGTTAATAAATTTGCGCCCTGGCCGGTTTGGCTCAGTGGATAGAGTGTCGGTCTGTGGACTCAAAGGTCCCAGGTTCGATTCCGGTCAAGGGCATGTACCGTGGTTGTGGGCACATCCCCAGTGGGGAGTGTGCAGGAGGCAGCTGATGGATGTTTCTCTCTCATCGAAGTTTCTAACTCTCTACTTCTCTTCCTTCCTCTCTGTAAAAATCAATAAAATACATTAAAAAAAGAAGTTAATAAATTTAAACTAGTAAAAAAGATGAACTTGACATCATGTACCTTAATAGCTACACAACATGAAAAAAATTTACTTGAGACATCAGTAATCTATGAAAAAGTGTGTTGTGGAGAGTCCAAGGGGAGAAGTTTTATATGCAATTGAAGGCGTTAAGATGAAATGGACTGCAAAGAGTATGACTTGTTTTATGTTAGTGTCTTGAAAATCACAAACACAATATAATAGATATACAAAAGAGAGAGGGACCAAATCACTGTACAAAATCATCAAATCACAATAAAACAGGAGACAAAGGAACTATAGAAGTGCCAGAAACCATGAAGAAGTGGCAATAGTTGCCCCATAAACAAATTCTTCATTCAGAATATAGAGAGTCACTGAAGAGATAAAAGAAACGGAAACTGGACTCAATATACGCTGCCTACAAAGACATTCAATCTTTATGGACCCAAATAGGAAGGGAAAAAAGATGCAAAAAATACCCCATACAAATAAAACCAAAACAGAGCAGGGATGGGGAAAATTCTATCGCACAAAACAGGTCTCCCAAAAAAATTTGTTACAAGAAAGTTCATCATAAAATGAGCTTTCATATGATGTGTGAATCAAATGATGTATCAGTCAATTCATCAAAAGGATAACAATTTGAAGTATTATTCACTAAAAAACAGAGTAAGGAATTATATTAAGCAACTAATATCAGATCTGAAGGCAGGAAAAACACACACAATATTAGTAGGCAACTTCAACATTGCCCCTTCAACAACAGGTAGACATCCCATCCAAAAGCAATAAGGAATAATTGAAGTCTGACTAGACTATAGAGAAAACAGAATAAATACATACTAGTCTCAAAGTTTGAGAAGAAATCACATCAAGGAGCTTATATAGTAACAATGTATAAAACTAGAAATCAGTTATAGTTTCAAGAAAGCTGGAAAATACACAAATATGTAAAAATTAAACAACACACTTCTGAAGGATCAGCGGGTGAAAGAAAACCCAGAAAAGAGATCTGAAATAAATAGACAAAGTGAATTCAAACACAATTTACCAACACTTATGTATACAATGCAGGAAATGCAATTCCACGAGGAAAGTTTAGAGCAGTGGTTTTCAACCTTCCTAATGCCATGACCCTTTAATACAGTTCTTCATGTTGTGGTGACTGTAATTTTGCTACCGTTATGAATCATAATATAAATATCTGATATGCAGGATGTATTTTCATTGTTACAAATTGAACATAATTAAAGCATAGTGATTAATCACAAAAACAATATGTAATTATATACGTGCTTTCCAATGGTGTTAGGCGACCCCTGTGAAAGGGTCGTTCAACCCCCAAAGGGGTTGCGATCCAGAAGTTGAGAACCGTTGGTTTAGAGCAATAAATTTCTACATTAAGAAAAAAGGTCTCAAATAAACAACCTAACCTTGCACCTCAGAAAACTGGAAACACAACAAGGAAGTAAACCTGAGTATCAACCTATGAACCAGGATGTCACAGTTCAATACCCAGTCAGGTCATATGCTGGATTGTGGGCACGATCTCCAGTAGGGGAATGCAGCAGGCAGATAAACAATGATACTCTCTCATAATTGAAGTTTCTGTCTCTCTATCCCTCCCCCTTCCCCTCGCTAAAATCAATAAAAATATATTTTAGAAGAAAACAAAAAAGGACAGTATACTCAAAGGTTGCAAAAAAAATCAAACAATGAATATTAGAACAACTATTAATAAACTAGAGACAAAAGTATATCCTAACTAAGAGCTAACCTATTTGTTCTTGTTAATCCTCACCCCAAACTATATTTTTCACTTACTTTTACAGACAGTGGAAGGGAGAAAGAGAGAGAAAAACACACAGAAGCATATACGTGATGGAGACACACTGATTGGGTGCCTTCCACAGGTGCCCAACAAGGTAGGAGGATCAAAACTGCAATCCAGGTTCATGCACTTAATCAGGAATCCAACCCGTGACCCTTTGTTGCTTGGGCCTACACTCTAACCACCATGCCTGACATGGCTAAGAGCTATTTTGATAAAAGATGCACAAAACTGGCAAATCTTTATTCAAACTAAAACAAAAGAAACAACAATAAAATGAATTTAAAAAATAAATGAAAGATGAGAGATATTACACCCGACATTGAAGCACAACCCACAAGAGATGTTGCCAAATGACATGAACTTACATGGAGGAAATTATAAAGAACTCACTATAAACTCCTAAAATTAATTTAAAAAATGGAGAGCCCTAGCTGGGTGGCTCAGTTTGTGAGAGTGTGGTTCTGATGCACAAAGGTACATAAGTTCAGGTAACCTCTATGACAAAACCACAAGAAATGTTAAGAAAGGACAGTTTCTTCAACGAGGGGTATTGAAAAAATAGATATTCACATGGAAAACAACAAAGCCACTGATAAACATTTACTCAGATTGCATGAAAGAATTAAAAGTCCAGATTAAAACTTTAAAATCCTGCCCTAAACCATTTGGTTCAGTGGATAGAGCGTTGGCCTGGGGAGTGGGGGGTCCCACGTTTAATTCCAGTCAAGGGCATGTACCTTGGTTGCGGGCACATC